TGCACAAGAGCAAAATTTGAACCTTATTATACACCATACACAAAAACCTATTCAGAATTAGTTAAAGACTTAAGTGAAAACCAGAAACAGGATTCAGAAATGCCACTACTGTGTATACATTCAAAGCAAATAGAATGAGTATGTCAAAGAGATATCTACACTCCAATGTTTATTGTAGTATTATTCACCATGGCCAAGGCATAGAGTCAACTTAATTTTCCATGAACTTTGCAGCACCTTGGATGGACTTAGAGGCTATAAACTGAGTGATCTATCGCAAAAACAAGTATTCGAGTATCAGATGTTCTCGCTCGTAAGTGGACCTTGAACTATCGTAATACTATAAAAAAGGGTTTGGCAGTAGTGGGAAATGCCAGAGGGGGGTGGGGGCAGGATTGGTAGTAGTAGGAAACTACCAGGCGGGGGCGGGAGGGCACACCTCATCAACAAGCGTACCTACCTAATGAACATATGTATACCTAACCCTAAATTGTACGTCACATATTTAAAATTAAAAGTTAAAAAAAATTTCCATCAACTGATGAATAGATTGTTTTTGAAGTGGTGTATATGCAGAATCCCATACTATTCAACCTTAAGAAATGAAGAAAATTGACGGGTGTGGTACCTCATGTCTGTAATCCCAGCATTTTGGTAGACCCAGGTAGAAAGATAATTTGCGCCCAAGAGTTCATCAACAGCCTAGGCAAATAGCAAGACCTCGTTTCTAAAAACATTTTAAAAAATCAAAACAATTAGCCAGTTGTGGTGGCATATACTTTTAGTCCAAACTTCAGGGGCTAGGCAGGAGAATCACTTAGGCCAAGGAGGTTAAACCTGCAGTGAGCTGTGATCTTGCCACTCCGTTCCAGCCTGGGGAATAGAGCAAGACCCCAACACAATAAACAAATAAACAAGAAATCCTGAACTTGGATGAACCGGAAAGACACTACAGTAAATTAAATAAACCAAGCAAAGAAAGACAAATACTTCAAATCTTGCTTATACGTGGAATGCTAAAAAGTTGAACTCATAGTAGTAGAAAGTAAAATGATGGTTACCTGGGGCTGGGTAGGGGGACAGGATATGGAAGGTAGGGGAAGGTTGAGAGATGTGGTCAAAGAATACAAATTTTTAGTTAGACAGGAGGAGGGGGAAGACATGAAACCATTACACTACCAGAAGAAAACACAGGAGCAAAGCTTCTTGATTTGGCAATCACTGTTTTGGAAATGAAAAAAAGCACCAGCAGTATTAGAAAAGAGGGACTGCATCAAACTCAAAAACTTCTGCACAAAAAAAGAAACAATCAACACAGTGAAAATATTTGCAAAGTCATAGATTTGATAAGGGGTTACTATTCAAAATATATAAGGAAATCATACATCTCAATAACAAAATAACAACTAATCCGATTAAAAATGAGTGAAGGATTTGAATACACATTTCTCAAAAGCAGAAATACAAATGGCCAACAGGTATAGAAAATGGTGCTAATCATCAAGGAAATACAAATTTAAAAAACAGAAAATATCACCTAACATCTATTAAGATGGCTATTACCAAAAAGATAAAAATAACAATTGTTGGCAATAATATTTAACGAAGGGAAACTTTGTATGCTATTGTTTGGAGTGTAAATTGGTACAGCTACGATGGAAAACGGTATGAGGTCTCCTCAAAATATTTAAAAAAAAACAACTACCATATGAACCAGCAATCTCACTTTTATGTATGATTCCAAATGAAATGAAGCCACTATTTCAATCAGATATCTGTACTATAGGAAAATACTATATATATGATGACTATAGGAAAATACTATATATACTGTTAACTTGAATTTTACCAAGAGGATTGATCTTAAGCATTCTCATCACAGAGAGAAAATAAAAGTATACTAAATACTGAGGTGATAGATATATTATGTGTCTTGATTATTTGTCTCGATAGGTATATTATTGTCTTGGTGATCATTTTGCCCAGTATGCATGTATTAAAATATCAAATTATATACAATCTTTATTTGGTAATTATACCTCACTATAGCTGAAGAATAAACACAGAATTTTTAACTTCTGCCTGGGCAGAAATGAAAATCACAGATTTATATATTATTTCCAAATAAATCTCAAAATAAGACAAAAAATTGTTAATTTTATCCATTCTCAGGAAGCTAAATGCCAATTATTCATTAAAATGTATTTTTTAAGGCAAACACATACTTTTAAAGAACCGGCCCAGTAAGAAGTACCTCAAAGCCTTCCAGAATGATCTGTGGGTAGGTGATGAAATTCCCAACAAGAAATTGAAACTTTATTCTCTTAACTCCAACTCCCAAATGCATACTTCATGTGTTTATCCAGAAGGTGGATCAGAAGCCTTTCCTCATCCCCTGAGAATGCGTTCACACCTCTCCTGTTTCCGATCGAGGCACCTTTATACATAACTGCACATGGTGAGAACTGGGATATGCTGTCTACATAACATTTTCATTTCATTTATTTGTTTTTGATTTTCAATAGGGGTCTCACTCTCCCTGGCCGAAGTGCAGTGGCAAAATCATAGCTCATCACAGCTCACCACAGCCTCAATATCCTGGGCCCAGATGAACTTTCTGCCTCAACCTTGAAAGTAGCTTGAACTACAGGTGTGTGTCACTATGCCTCGTTAATTTTTTTTTCTATTTTTTGTAGAGTCGAGGCCTTGCCTAAGCAGGTCTTGTACTCCTGGGCTCAAGCGATTCTCCTGTCCTGGCCTCCTAAAAGTCTGGGACTGCAAGTATAAGCCACAAAGACCTAACACAGGATCACCTTTCAAGATTGAAGAACTCATTCCCCCAGGTACTAGAAGTGCTGATGGACGACAGTGCTAGAGTGTCAGCCCTCTTAATAAAAAAGGGCTTTTAGGGCAGATCTCTAATCAGCACCAGGGAGGAAGGCCTAGTGCCCTTGTCTCATCACAAAATAACCCCAAAGGGTCATCCAAGCAACAGTATTTCCCATAAAATTGACAGAGATCATGAATTGCATTGGAGCCTTTCTTTTCCCTCTGAAAAACCTGATTTTTCCCAGGTATGCTATATTTATCTCAGAGCATATATGTGGTCTCCTCAGAGAGACTAAAGGCTCTTAGAGGACAGAATCTTTATTTATTCACTAGCATCTGTTCTTATATCTACTCAGTCTAGAGCCCTGAACATAGATGCCCAAGGAGTTTTCATTAAGTTGAACCAAATTGTTCACCCCGTTGCCAAGAAATAAGAGAGTATTTTACCTAGAATGCCATGATATCTGTTCTTGTCTAAGGGTGAGAAAAATACACACAGTTTGGATCATTCATTATAGTTGGTTTCCTAGGCTTCACAAATAGATTCCAGTAGTTAATTTACAAGGGAACAAGATAAGGGGAAAGTACAAAATAAAAAAAGAATCTTTCTGAGAATCTCTGCCTTACCTTTTCCACATCGCCCAGACCCTCGGTGTCCAGGAGGACTAGAGTGACATTCGGTTTGGAGGGATGGGGAACACACCACATCCAGATGCCTTTGGTTTGAGACTGCACCGTGGAGCCCAGAGAAAAGCCTGCAATGGAAAAAAAAAGAAGCAATGCACACACTGACAGGAGATCACTACAGTCCTGAGCTACAAGATCAGACTTCTGGGATGGTAACTCCTCCACTAGCATACAAGATAGTGCTCTCTCTGTTTTGTTAATAATGGCTTACTTTGCGAGTCACCTATTTCAAAAAACAAGGGACATTAAATATGAGAGTGATGCCAAGCAAGGGCTCAAGATGGAGACAAGAAGGAATCCATGAATCAGACATAATGGAGGTCACTGATAACCGTGACAAGGAATCTTGAAAGTTCAAAGGGGTTCAAAGTCAGAGAGCAGTAGATTGAGACACAGAGGGAAAACGACAAAAATAAAATTGAGATAACATTTTGTGCATTGAAAAACAATTTAAAACAAAGCCAAACACAAAAACAAAATAGGAGTTGGTAGCCATATGGTATGTGAAATTCAGGAAGCATTTTCAAGGCGAAATGTATTCAAACATCTTTAGATGTTGAAGGGAATATCACATAAAGAAAGCAAAATATAATATGAAAGAAAAAAGACACAATTACAGGAGCCTGAGTTTCAGTTTGTAAGACAAGGTAGGATTCTGAGCACTAGTAGGAGAGATTTTCCTTAATGGAAGTAAAGGAAAGAATATGGAAATAGATTACAGTAAGTTAATGATGTTTTGATGGTTAAAATTAGAATGAGAAAGTTGGCTTATTGAGAGGAGTTGGATTCTCCGATTCTGAGACATAGCTAAAATCAAATACTTGGCTTGTGCCAGAGGAATCCACTCACCATGGTTTTGTCCTGCCAGACGGTTCATCAGATAGGATTTCCCTGTACGGTATAGTCCTACAATGCCCACCACCACCACTGGTTGAGCAATCTTTTCAAGAATCTCTATAGCTTGCTGGTTCACTGACAGGTGATTATTGTTATTTTCCACGAGACAAATGGGAGCCAACATTTTAGGTCCAGATGCCATGGCAAAATGCCCAAGTAGAAGAGCCCCCTGGTAGAAATAAGATTAGAAAGTTATCCTCTGCCTCAGAGTTATGCAAACACCCATCAATTTAGGATCAATAAAGAGTGCAACTACTTCTATCAGATGACATGTAACTTAGCATTAGCAGACTGCAGAAGGCTTCCTCCATTGTTCTCTCAATCTGTAATGGTGTTAGTGATGAAACATGGAGTATTATCTTCTCCAAAGTTGTGCTTGGATGGCAATAAAATAAGATCCAAGTGATTGCTGCTATTATAGGAGCTTTCACCATGCCAATCCTTATGATACATACCTTAAATATAAGATATTTAATAATATAAAATACAAGAACCTGCAAGTCAGAGATGATTGTCAGTTGGCAAATTAGATAAATGAGTATTCAAGGCTCAGTGAATGTCATAGAGTCAGGATTAAAAACTTGGAGAATTAAGCAAAATAGCAGATTAGGGAGTTTTAAGTCCTTGCTCCTTCCATGAAGACATCAAAAAGCAACGAGAATATGGATAAAAATAATCTTACCGAAGCTCTGGAAAGCAGTCAAAGATCTACAGCAACCAAGCAAAGGATCAATCAAGAAAAAAGAGCCGCCGGGCTCTGTGGCTCAGCCTGTAATCCCTCGCTTCGGGAGGCCAAGGTGAGTGAACTGCCTGAGCCTGCGGGTTCGAGACCCGCCTGGGCAACTTGGCGAGACCTCATCTCTACAATAAATCAAAAAATCAGCCGGGTATGGTAGTGCGTGCCTGTAATTCCGGCTACTCGGAAGGTTGAGGCAGAAGGATCGCCGGAGCCCAGCGGGTTGAGGCTGCAGTGGCCGGGAGTGGCCGCTGCACTCCAGTCTGGGCGACAGAGTGAGACTCCAACTCCAAAAAAATAAAAATTTTTAAAAAAGAAAAGAAAAAAGAGCCATATAAAAAATGGTAGAAAAGTCCATGTCATTTTGCTGGCCCTTTCCCTATCCAGGTTCTTCCAAACTTGAAATTCGTGTATTAATGATTTCTTGTGTATGATACCAAAAGCACAGGAAGCAAATAAAAAAAATAGATAAGCCATACTTCATCCCGAAGAAAAACTCCTGTGAATCAAAGGTATAAAAAGGCAACACACAAAATAGAAGAAAACACTTGAGAATCATGTGTCTGCTAGAATACATAAAGAACTGCTATAACTTAACAACAACCAAAACACAACTCAAAAATGTGCAAAGGACTGGAATAGATATTTCTCTGAAAAGATATGGAAACGGCCAAAATGCACATAAAACATGCCCAATATCATTAATCACTAGGGAAATGCAAATCAGAATCACAATGAGGTACCACTTCACATTCATTCAGTAGGGTGTCTGTTAAAGAAGGAAGGAAGAAAAGAAAGAAAGAAAGAAAGAAAGAAAGAAAGAAAGAAAGAAAGAAAGAAAGAAAGAAAGAAAGAAAGAAAGAAAGAAAGAAAGAAAGAATTGGCTGGTATATGGAGAAATTAGAACATTTCTGCATTGCTAATAGGACTATAAAATGGGAAACAATATGATGATTCCTCAAAAATCGAACATACAATTAGCATTTGATCAGTCAATTCTATATCTGGGTCTACACACACACAAAAAAAAATTGAGGGCAGAAATGCAAGCAGATATGCACCAATGCTCATGGCAGCATTATTCACAACAGCCAAAATATTGAAACAATGCTAATGTCCATCAACATATAAGTGAGCCGGGCTCAGTGGCTCAGCCTGTAATCCCAGCACTTTGGGAGGCTGAGGTTAGTGGATTGCCTGAACCCGCGGGTTCGAGACCCGACTGGACAACTTGGCGAGACCTCATCTCGACAATAAATCAAAAAATTAGCCAGGCATGGTAGTAGTTCCAGCTACTTGGAAGGCTGAAGCGGAAGGATTGCTGGAGCCCAGCAGGTCGAGGCTGCGGTGGCCAAGAGCGGCCACTGCACTCCAGTCTGGGTGACAGAGTGAGACTCCAACTCAAAAAACAAAAACAAAAACAAAAAAAACCAGATAAGTGGACTAACAAAATGTGGAACATATATACAATAAAATATTATCCAGACATAAAAATTAAGATAATTATGATACATGTTACAACATGGATCAATAGGACAGACAGTAAAAAACAAATATTATATGATTCAACTCTATGAGATACTAAGAATAGTTAAATACATGGAGACAGAAAATAGAAGAGTGGTTACCATGGACTAAAAGTGAAGGGAATAGGAAATTATTGTTTAAATATGCCGAGATCAGTTTGGAATCATGGACTAGTTCTGGTGATAGTTGCACAAAAATGTGAATATACTAGTGTCATTGAATTATGCTCTTAAAAATAGTTAAAATGATACATCATGTTATGCATATTTTACCACCAAAAAAAGTAAAGATAAAAGTCGAGATAATCAAATAAACTATTTATCTGTTCTGTGTGCTGCAAACATATACTGGCAAAAATAAATTCTTCAAAGACATTGATTATCCCATAAGTTCTTTGATTAATTATCTGCAGTAGTTTTTTAATGACCATCATATACAAAAACATCTTCTCCAACACATCAGGGTGACCTATGTGCTTGTCTTTTACTAACAGGTTAGGATAGTGAATAGGAGGGAGTAGGAGGGAGTGGGGAATAAACCTGTGGTATGAGGTCCATCTAAAAAATGCAGGCTCCCTTCCCAAATGGGAGGGCAGGAGAATGACCGGATATCTAAGAATTCACATACAGGCTGAAGTACTTAGCTTAAAACCGTCAGGTTCTTTGAAACCTACTCTCAGAAATGAAAATAAGAATTAAAAAATAAGAAATCTTTATATATACTATAGATAGATAGATAGATAGATAGAAGATAGATAGATAGATAGAGAGAGAGAAAGAGAAAGCCAATGTCACTCGATCAATATAAGTGAAAGGCATTTAGGACTTCACTGGAATTATCTTCGCATTAAAAGTTTAATTTTTAAAGTAAACTATTGGACCGGGTACAGTGGCTCACAACTGCAATCCCAACAATTTGGGAGGCTGAGGTGGAAGGATTGCTTGAGGCCAGGAGTTTGAGATCCCCAAGTATGGCAAACATATTTGCCCTTAAACAAATAGCCCGAGACTGCACAGATCTCCTTAATAACATTCCAAAGTTTGATGGATTACAGGCAAAAGCAGGTCTAATCTCCCTCAACCCTATCTCCTGTGTATCAAACTCTTAAACTACTTCTGCAATGGTTTCGGTCCAGGGCTTTATAGGTAACATCTATTATAAAACCTAAGAATGTTGTTTGAGATGTTTTTCAGACTAAACACTCTGATGGACCCGAGTCCCCACCTAGACCTGGAACACACACCAGAAAGATGATCCTACCAGTCTGGTGACACCCTCTCCCAAAAACTGGCTCTACACATGGAAATAGTTTTGACACTCCATGACATCATCTCCAACCAATCAGCAGTACCCATTTCCTAGTCCCCTGCCCATCAGATTATTCCTTTAAAAACCGTCACCTAAAATTCTTGGAGAGGAGGACTTGAGAAATAACTCCTATCCTCCTCCTTTAACTGTTTTTGCAAAATTAAACTCTTTATCTACTGTGACAGCTGTATCAACCTCAGTTTTTCTGGACAGTAGGCAACTGGTCAGGCTATAACAACATCTACATTATTATTACTGGGGTTGGTAGTCCCCTCCTTAGAAGAAATATCTCTGTAGAGAGATCTAAGAAAATGTGACTGTTACTACAAACAACTTAATAAAACCCAAGTCTCTGGTTTCTTAACTGGGAATGAACCACAGAACTTTCAGTTTCAAATTAACAAAGTATAGCTGTTTGATCCTGTTCAGGAATGGTTTTCAAATGCTTATAAACATAAGAATCACGTAAGAGATTTTTACACCCTACTCACTCTCTCTCTCTCTCTCTCTCTCTCTCTCTCTCTCTCTCTCTCTCTCTCTCTCTCTCTCTCTCAGGCTTACGTATTGTATGTTTAACAAGTGCTACAAGAGACTCTGCTGTTGCTATAGGAAACAAATGCCACACAGACACACACAGAAAGTTTAGTGCTATAAGGAAGATCTGTGCTGTAAGGAATAAATTTATTTTTACACAGAGATTTACAGAGCATTTCTAAATGTGACTACTTTCTAGAGAGAAAAAAAACAACTCCTTAAGTTATAACAGCCTGAAAGCTCCTTAACAGGAATCTTTTCATTGCATCCCAGCACCTGCAACAGGTCCTGATAGAGGCAGGCAGGCCGGCACCCTCCAAGGCTCCCTCCACTCCACTTGCTGCAGCCCTGAGTTCATGTTCGGGGAGCAGCACATCCAGGGGCCTTAGCATGCCTGGCTGTCACATGTCAGTGGTCACTGGCCCAAGCAGAGAAGCTGAGCTTCTCCAAAACTGAAGCCAGCCACAGACCCCTGCAGGCCAGACAGCAGACACACTGCCTTTCCAGCCCATTCTTCAGTTGCCATTTTGAATCAGAAATCGAGTCTTGAGTTCAACACTAAGATACATGGAAAAGAGAGTGAACATACCTTCTCCACCACGCCAGAGGTACAAGAAGGGCTCTCAGTTGCCACTTGCTCACCCCTTGCTCTCCTTCTGTCTTCCACTTCCTGTTTCTTTTTTATAAATGCAAAAAACAAAAATAAAAACAAAAACACACCAAAAATCAAAAAACCGAGGAGGTTCATCATTTCCGCAAATGGGATAGGGCAATAACTGAATACTAGTCAGGCTTGTATTTCAAGCCTGTAATCCCAGCACTTCGGGAGGCAGAGCAGAGAGGATTGCCTGAGCCCAGGGGTTCAAAACCAGCCTGGGTAACCTGGTGAGATCTCGTCTCTACAATAAATAAAAAATTGAGTCAGGCAGGGTGCCATAGTCTTGTAGTTCTAGCTTCTTGGGATGGATCACCTGAGCCCAGCAGGTAGAGGCTGAAGTAGCCGTGATTGTGCCACTGCACATCAGGCTGGATGACAGAGGAAGACTCTGACTTAA